CCTTTGGGAGGCTATTCCTAGTATTGTGGAGTTTGAGATTCGTGCCCTTGGACTGTGAGTTATGGATAGGTTCTTGGCAGTTAAATGAGGGTTAAGGTGGGGTTTCTTAAATGATTCGGCGGTGGTTGGCTGTGTTTTATTCATCATAGAGTTCAATGATCATGGCGCACTTATTGCATCTTTCAAGACTTGTATGACGAGACCGTCGTCTAGAGCACGAAGCCAACAATATTGTTCCAGTAGTCCTTTTGCCTTCGCATTGATTAAATCCAAGTCGACCAAGTGTGAGTGACGGTTCTTGATCACTTCTGGTAGCGGTTATGGTCAGTAACCGGCTTGGGGGGGTTTCAGTTCCGCAGCTTCAACTTCGTAAATATTCTCTGTAGACACATCTAAAGCCACCGTCTTTGCAGCGCTGGCACGGCTTCCCCTTATCACATCGCACCCTCCGTCGTCGACACATGTCGCACGGCTTCTGTCGCATGGAGAACACGTGCACCCTTGCTTGGAAAGCCGCACTGGCTCCAGCTGAGCCGCAGCTCAACCCATTTTTGACACAGTTCTGACAAGGGTCATCCTTATCACACTTAATCTTCTTTGATCGGCAATGGCCACAAGGTGCCTTCAACTTCTGGTTTGATGTGGGTGAAGGGAAAGGGACTGATTTTGTCCTCTGCGCTCGGCTCTGCAGCAGAACGTGGGCTTCACCCCAGACCTCCTTCCCGGCCATCTCACAAGCAATATCTAGCCAGAGTATCATCCGCAGCTTTTCTTTCACGCAGCTCCACTGCACGTTATCTGAGACATACATAACCTCAGCCAAGCCCTCGATGAACCAGTGTCTGCCTGGTCCATTCCCAGCTGCTATACCGCCCATCATGAGGATCCACAGAAACAGGATATCGCCATGTTCCAGGACTGGCCAGGTGTCGAGAAGCTTATTAGTATCCAACTCTGATTGTAATGCCTTCGCCAGTGTTTCAAAAGGGGCTCGGACGCCAGAAAGCGGGAATGTCACTCCAATACTGTAAATAATTGTCGCCAGTCGGCAGACTTCTGATATAGCTCCAAGTCCTGTGCCAGTAATCGTCCCTATGCTCATCAGATGATGCTGAGCTAGATTGCGCTGGTCGCAAATTGCCTGGGGTCTGTATGACGAACTACGTCCGGAAACGTAGTCGTCAATTGTTGCTGTGTAGACTTTCAGTTCCTGCATAACTTTGCGGAGTTCCGGATCAAGATCGATTGTGTCGAGGAGCGTTAAGCAATTAGCTGTGTTAGTGATGCCAAGAAGAAAGTGTTTTTCTATCTCGAATTCGCTTTCACCAGATAGTGCGACGAACGGAAGTGGCGGAGGAGAAAGTAGTAGTGTAGAGTTTACTAGTACCCGGCTAAGGAAAATGTGAGTTTCTGATCCTGGATCCGGTTTGGGGAATGTTGCTTACTAGAATGCTGCAGCTGCGAGACCAGGCGTTGTAACTTGAGCAAGGCCACCCCTTAAGGATATTATTCTGTGAAGACCCATTTGATGCAACTGATTGGGTTCTCTGGCACTGTGGACATCCAACCATTGTAATCCTTGCAGCGGGGCCTGGAATGGAGACTGCTTGGACCACTGGTTGCCATCATGAAGCAATGGCTTTTCGACCATCATCAAGACTGCCAGGATGGTCGCATCAGCAGTTGCTCGAACAGGATCGTGTAGTGCTTCATTTATCGAAGTGATCGTGTCCAAGTAGTATTGTTTCAAATATGGTACGACCTCTTTTGTCGATGTCAGGCTAGCCATGTTGGCCGAGATCAGGCCATTGATCCTCTCGTGCGATAGGGAAGACAGTACTATGGCCTTGAATGTCGCCTGATCGTTCAGTGACATAGGAAACCAGTATTGGAGATATGGATTGGACACATTGCGCGACGGAAGTACACGAGGCGTCATGATGGCGAATCCTATAGATGAATGAGCATTTTATCGACGGCTCCACGCAATATAGAACCTTACGATAAGACAGAGCCCGCCTCACGAGCCGTGGTGGAAGAGATGATGGGAAGATGTTCAAGGGAATGAGGTCCGCTCCGGGGTAGATACGAGTGATCTCGCCTGCAGAACCGGGCCATGTTAGCTGTCGCGTTGGCTACACGTCTGACGAGCGCGTAGCTGTACTATGATCGGTTTCTTCCTCCGTTTCCACTACACCAGTGGATAATGGAATATCGGAAGACATATTAACGTTGAAGGGTAGAAGATCACGGTCAAGTGTGGAACGCTCCATGAGCTCGAATGGAGGTGCATCCAATAGGGACGCTAGCATTTATTGTGAATAGTATGGATGCCAGTATCAAATACCATAGTGGGCGGAAGATCGTTGAAGGATTCATGAGTTTATCTCAAAGCCAAGATTATAAATGGTTGATCACGTGTGGTCATCATGGAGTATATTCTAACCTGTTGTAACCAAGCGGGATTAGGCTGAATACGAAGTTAGGCCGGAATCGGAGAAGGGCGAACTGGGCCGGCTTTCGACTGTCAGACACTACAAAGGTACTAGACTCCGCAGGTATAATAGTTGCATTATTGGCCAAAAAAGGACCACCGTTCACTAGGGACGTAACTTTTCAATGTCATTCGTCTATCTCATCAAGACATAAGCAGGGGTATGTGAAATATGTATCGAATCAGTCGTCACGGAACTCTTCAACACACTCAATCGTCGAAATCCTCCATATCATCCATTCCCTCATCTCCCTCATCATCCAGACCTTCGAATACCATGAACTTCTCATTCTTAGCATCCGTTTCCTCCGGAACGACGTTGGCATCCTGCACTTCACAGTCCTTGAGGACGGATTCACGACCAATCCTAGCTCGTCGGCCAATGAGACAACCCGTCAATTGAGCCCGGGACTCAACTACTGCTCCGTCCATCACCACGCAGCGAGTGAGCCGTGCGCCACTAGAAATATGGCAGTTGGGCCCGATAACACTCTCCTTGATGACACATGTTGGCTCCACGGTTACATTCTCAGCAAGCAAACAGTCACTCTTGGTAACCGTGCACCGTTGGGCTACGCCCTCCGGATGGGCAACCTTCTGGTTATGCGCAAAAGGCGATGCTGCCTGACGACCAACTTCCTCAATCGATTCCAACTTGGCCAGCCGAAGTGATGTTGACAGAAGGATAGCCGAACTGTCCACTCGTCGGACAAATGGTGTCGATCCTTGTTGGACATAAGCAAGTATTTGAGGATGTTCCACAGAGTGTGAAGCTGCACTTCCGACCTTTGTAGAACTTATGTTGTTGAGGTCAATCTCATCCTCCACTAAATCGCCGTCGTGACTTTTGTTGTCGTGCTGACTCTGGTCATGGAAGATCTTATTCATGCCCAGCTTCTCCCCTAGACCATTTTGCCACCCCGACTTGGCCCAATAGCCGATAAGATCCTCACTCACTGATTCCAGCTTCTCCTGGTGGCGAGCTAGATCCTTGACCCAATACGGAAAGACGTAGAGATGCGCATCGCGGTAACTAGTCAGCATCTTGACCTGCGCATACTTCTGAACTAATGCATGGCGCACAAGAAAGCCCTTTTCCTGTTCCATCCTCTCTTTCACAGTATCCATAGGCATTGACATGAGTAATTTTGATAGACCAAAGCGCAAGGCTGATGGTCCGTCAACGAGATGTGATACTACCGGAGCTTCATCCTGCCCTAGAGGCGCAACAGCCACAAAGTCGGTGGCCTCACCCTTTACACTCTCCTCACGACCTACTGTCTGATAATATACGGCAAGCCCGCCGCGACGGCCACCTTGCTCCCCACCCGGGCCATCAGGGTTCCCTCCCAGAGCTCCCTGAGTGACCAACCACGCCTCTAGTATAGATTCACCTGGGATGTCACATATAAGGTCGCACGGAAGAAGTAGGAAGTCTGTCTTGATGCATTCTTGAACTTCCGGAAGACGGAGTAGTTCGGCCGTTCCCATGGTCATTTCGAGGTCTTTCGGGGCCACGACGGACACGGAGGGGGCAGGAAGCGATGTGAGATGCGGGTTTTGCTTTAGCGCAGCTTGAAGGGGGGCGAGGGAGGATGGGGGCGTAATTAATGTGATGTCTAATACGAGACGAGCCGCAAAGTTAGTCATTGAAAGATCTCCGAGTGAAGACTGGAGGACATGTTATTAGTTAAACGCGAACGTACCTGTAATGCCTGATCGTTTGCAAAAGTCGATTGGATAGAACACCATGGGCCTATTTGCTATAGGAATGAGACTCTTCGGGTACTCCTCCGGGTTCGATGTGAAGGTGTTGAGAGAGACGCCGGGGCCGCATAGAATGAGGGCCTGAAAGCCCGTCGAGGGCACCGGAGCCGAAGATGGCATGGTTTCGAGACGATAAGCCTCGAGGGAGCAGACTGCGTATGAAGCGCCTTCGAGACAGATCACTCGATCACTTGGTTGACCCCGCGCCGCAGTAATGAGATCGTGGGGGTTTCGATACCTGGAACGCGACTGCGCTCTGGATATGCACCTGTCTGTTGGGTCAAATGCTAGGTAGCACCAGGCCACTCTGATAACGCGTTCCGACTAGGCACTGGGGCTATACAACCGGGCATTGCTCGACGTGGTCCGTCGCGAACCGACTGATGCCGTAAATGGGAGCTGAGTTCGGGGATGGTCACGTGCTGATAGCGGAATGAGTCAGGATCGGGAGGGCCCGACATTAGGTTTGTGGATCCCGTGCACGGTTCATCAACTATGGTCTCCAGCTTCAATTCTACTTCTGTCTTAAATTTCCGTTCTGAGATATTATTCATCATACCATGACACCAGTATCAGGTGCACCCCTAATGTGAAGCACGCAGATAGCCTGATCTCTACACAGATTTCAAGCGTCTACATTTCACCGAAACCATTAGCAGCTTGTACGAGACCGTTATAATCGTCCATCTTCTGCTCTTATAATACATATTTGACATAGTAATAACACATGTCCTATGAAGGGAAACCAAGAGTGTGCAAGGCTATCTTGCATCAGGTATTTCAGTAACACACCGACCTCACATCAGAGAGGTCATCGCTACACGATTTCCAGTCCGAGCCCAGGCTACTTATTTCATCATCAGTCAGCGCGCGACGGGCATTGGCAGCTTCTTCAAACTCTTCCGGGGTCCGATAACCGCCCATCAGGGCAATTTCGAATATATCCAAGATTGCTGAATCTGGGTCGGTGGCAACGCCATAGATCGTACTGCCCAATGCGCCTGCATCTCCGATGAGCGACATCATATCGGCCAATTGTTCCAAACCGTCCGAAATCAGCCTGATTTCGCCAAGGAAAGGGACAACCATCAGGACGCCAAAGATAATCTCCTCAATCATCGCCTTCTTTTTCTCTTCCGAGGCCTTATCCGCGACTTCAACCACCTGGCCCATGTTTGCGACCGCTTGAGCCAGTGTGAAGACGACGGTCGAGATGGTGAGAAGCACATCGTTCATGCTTCCTCCATATGCACCAGTGGCCGACAGTATCTGGGTCAGGTATATTGTCTCGGTCAAATTATAGATTCCTGGAAGTGCATCCTCGATGATCGTCTGTGGGTTGGTCACGGTGATGTTATCAGCCGGTAGAGGGTAACCCTTCAGCACACCCTTGTCAGGCTGGCATGTCTTGCCAGATCCTACGCCGCAACTTGATCCGACATCTTTGTCCCCGAATTGTACCCAGTCCTTTTGGATTCCGGTGGTGGCTGTGAGGTTGGCCCAGAAGGCAGTAGCGTTGATGAGGTCGTAGTAAATTTCATAGTCGTTGTAAAGCTGCTCCACGTCAAACGGGCATGTGGTTGTAGAAGCGTTCACGCCATCTTGGGCAAAGGTGCACGTGAAGAAGGCATTTCCAACACCCCCAGGATTCATGTAATCCTCCAACTCTCCAGGAACCTCCTCGCGGATGTACTCCTGGTACTCAGTGAATTTGCCGCCATAGTTTGAGATGATGTCCGTGTAATTGGTCATCGTATTGTTGAGCATGTCGGAAAGGACACCAAGAGCATAATAATTGACACAATAGTCTTCTATGGAGCTTAGAGAAGACTTCAGGCTCGCAAAGCTGTCGAAAGTGAGGGTGTAGTCGCACATTTCGACGTCATCGGCACAATCCGAGTCAGGATCATCATTTGTGCACACTAGATCCGTGCCGTTACCAGCAACGCTTTCCGAACATACGGGCGATGGACAGTAGCCTCGCTCGCAGGCAAAGTCACATAGGCCACTGTCAGTATAGGCATCCATGGTGTAACCATATATGCTAGTGTTTGCAGTAGGCGGCACGTCTAAGGGACCCGTTACGGTACAGGTGCAGTTATGGATGGGACAGTAACCATAGGCGCAGGCATAACTGCACAAACCTGTCAAGTCACCGGTTCCTTCTCCAGAAGTACAAGTGTTGGGCGTGAAAGGTGACACAGTAGACGTAGCAAGAGCCACTTCGGTAGTGGTGCAGGCAGACGAAGGGCAGTACCCGTAGTTGCAAGAGAAGGCACAGAGACCCGAGTAGTCCTCCGTCATTCCGGCGGCAGGGTAGCCAATCACTCCCAGACTCTTAGGCAATTTCGCCTGAGGGCCCATTTCCTGACACAGACAGGCCCCAACAGGGCAGTATCCTAGCTCACAAGCAAAGGAGCAAAGGCCGTTGAAGTTGCCTACCCCCCAGCCGCGGATGCACACCTCGTCTGCGAGAGAATAGGTCGGGGTGGCTGAAATCGTGGTGGCCGACATGGCGCTGCCTACCCAAGCGTTCCAATTCTCAATTTCACTTGATGCAGCACAACCTGTGACAATGTCCTCGCCAGTGAAGCTTGCAATTGTATCGCCGCCTCGAGTGATAGCCACCTCGACGCTTCCTGCCTGCACCGAAAATTCCACGCTGCCGTGGTAGATGCCCGTCCCTCCACTGGGGGTACTATTCCACGACGCACCTAGGTCTATACCCCCGACTGTCACTGAGATATCTGCTGAAGAGACTAACAGAGCAGAGAAGAATATCCGATCTTGTGGGATCTCGTATGGCCAGTATTCTAGTTGCAGTTGGCTCACAGTATTACCAGTCGTCCCGCCATCTGATGTGCAGCTTCCCCGGACATTCAATCGGTACCATGCCTGAACACCTTCCTGCGTGATTGTCGAGATGTTGTTCTTATAAGTATCAGCGAGCCAGGGAAGGAACGCTCGCCAACCGTCGTGTGGCATGTTCAATGCATAGTTATACGGGGCCTGGCCTGTTCCGAAAGCTGTATAAGTCGACTCAGCAAGCGAGGAGTCAGCGTCCAGAGTGGGGCCGATGTAGTGTGATTCACCGAAATCGTTCCAGGAGATGATTTCGATGAACTCGGGGGCCAGAAACATAGCCTGGACCCAGCGGTCATACCAGATATCATCACCCCGCCACAACCAGTTCTTGCTGTATCCAGGCATGTTGGTAAAGAACCAGGGCGAGACCGGCATCATGTATGGTTTACCATCCAGAAAGTCGATATAAGAGGCGTCCACATAGGTATTCATATCACTTGGGCCGTACGGCCATGCCGCCCAGCTGAACAAGCCATCGGCCACCCCATCTCCAAGGCTCACGGCGACTTCAGCCCCTACAGAGGACCAGTCAGGAATGAAATAGCACCCGGTCTTTTCTTTGATATCGACCCAGTCGTCTGCATTATCAGGACCTTCAAATGTAGAGACAAAGGGCTTCGAGTCATATCGCCAATATGCTTTCGCCGATACGTAAGTCTCTAGCATGTCCAGGACGTCGTCTTTGGCCCATGCCCCATTCCCTGCATAATCAAAGGAAAAGAAAAGGGAGAATCCAGTGTTCACAGCAGCTGAGAAAGCGTTCTCCAAAGATTGTGTATTGGTAGCATCTCCTACAGCGATGTTCATCGCAAATGCGTCGATGTTTGCGTCCAAAGCAAGGAGCATCTCATTTTGCCAATCATCGACCGTATAGCCGAGGGTATTGGAGACCTTATCGGAGCTGTTAGTCCAGATCTGTTATGCAATATCAAAGGACATACCATAAAATGGGCAAAGACTGCCCGTGAATGGACCTCAAGTGACCAAAGCACGAGACATAAAATTGCCGGAAGAAAGGGCCGCATCATAATAGGTATGCGCTTATAGAGCTAACCTGTGGGCAAATAAAAAATCAAGAGTCTGAGAGAAGGAAGACCTGTCCGAAGCGAAGGAATGGAAGACCGAAGTCAATAGAAATGATAAAAAAAATGAGTGAGGTCAAGGTTCGAACGAATGATTAGATACTGTTAAAGAAGTGAGCGTAAGTGAGAATGAGTGACTGTGCCAGTGCTTGGGGTAGGCCAGAGCATATGGACATTTATTTATAGATAGACAAGGCCCATCAGGTGTGGTCCAGTCTCAAACAAAAGGAAAAGTCATCCCATTATCAGTCCTATCCTTTGGTTTCTAGCTAGCGTATACTAGCTGAGCTTCTCCTTAGCTACATGAGGGATTAATATGGAACGACAATATGTCAGCTCGCAGAATTTCTTACCCGGGTAGTATCGAAGGCGCTTGTTCAATAATCCCTATACTCTTATCTGTGACACCAACGCTAGTAGTCATCCTCCGAAAAGATTGGTATCCACCATCAACAGGCTATTTACTTTAATTGCATTTAATGAGGTTACATTGACTAGTAGTGGCCGGCGTTAATCGGTTAGACGCCATGGTGAACGGTAAGGCCTCGAATGTTTGATTAAATTACCATGCTGATTGTGGAAGAGGCCTTGGTGGAAGATCTATAAAGATACTAGCAAATCCATGATGTTCATATTCCCATGCTGGTCTAAGTTCTGCCTTGAACTATCACCAAGACCTACCTTTCTATTTTTTCTTTCAAACCGACTTCGAACAACCTCCTTTCGAGCATTTATCCACCATGAAACCGGTCCTGCTTATCTTCATCCTGGTTCTTTCCATTGATCTTGCACAATGTTCAAAATTGACCGGTCCTTTTGAAGCTCTTTTCTTCTACTATGCCTATCAGATCGATGCCGCAGCTGCAGCCCGAGCTGTGGAAGATGGGGTAGCATATGAGGCCACAATTGGAGGCAAATGCATCGGTAAAGGTTGTACGTTAGAGGGCTTTATAAAAACGATCATCAGCCCAAATTCTGGAAGATATCTCACACCCACTGCAATTGGGGCTTCTACAAGCCCAGATGTATATGCAACTGCTGAGGAGATCGACACATATTGGAATTATAATAGCAAAAACTTACAGGCCGACCAAATAATCAAGGATGCGCCAGATGGATTCGCCAACGTGGTTGACAAGGTCGTGGATAAAATACAAACGGCTCGAGCAGTTGTACCATCTGCCAATCTCGTGGACAAGGCAGTGGTGGCTTTGAAATGGGCGCAATCCGTCAGGCTCAGTGAGATGGTTGTCCTTAATGGGGAGCTTCGGGGTGGAAAGGCGCTGGCTTTTGAAAAAGATTACCCATGGCTCGAACAGCTGACGCTGACCACCCAGCGAGAATTGGATGTTGACAGGACTGTGTCACCGGAATTGAAAATAGTTTACACCGATCTTGATTATGCAGAAATGGCGTTGCGGTTATCGAACGGGGACAGGACGAAACTGATGGATCATTACGAAGAATTTCTCGAGTTTGCCCGCACTGAACCTAGCGAACGCGTTTACAAAATTCATCGAAACATCGTGAATGTGTATCAGCGTGTGGTATCGTCGCTCGAAGCAGGCTGTTCTTAGACGTTAAAGCTCGAAGGTTCGCGGAATTCACATTCGTCCTGAAGTGTTTCATGTTCTTTGTCGTCCTGGCTTCTTCTCCATGTCGCTACTCTACAAGTCAATCGTGCCGGTTTAGTTTAATGTGAATTCTATAATCCAGCTCCAGCTTCAAGTTGCCACGTATTAACATCTGAGCCATTTGACAGAACAGCAATCTAGATAGGCAGATTGACAGAGATGATAAGGCTACCTGAGCTATCACTCCTAAACAGCGGATAGCATAGGAATTCTGTCAAGTGAAGTCGACCCTCAGGTTGCCCCTGCATAGATAGTGTAGCGTAATAGATTAACTCCTATACACAAGGATAGCTTTCAATAATACTAGATCAAGGGGTGTAGAAGTATGAAATGGCTGGGCTGCTGTTAGTGCTGAGAACTACTCTTAGCTCAATATCCCGGAACCAGATGGCATGGAAATAACGATATAAATTACCGCGGAGTATCTTCGGCGAAAAAGAATCCCAATCCCTGAACACCCTACCCATTAAGTTGGAAGAGCGACGGGGGCGCTAGTGCGTCGGTACTCCGAAGGCTTATAAAGCTTTAAAAGCACAAAAGGCTTGGTAGATCGGAAATGAGACCCTGGGAGTAGCAGTCTTATCTAGTCGAGTATCTTCGTTGAAGCGGATGCAGTATAGCGGCCCACTCCTACACCTATCAACACGGAGGTTCTGCCTAAAAAGGAAATTGTGAGGCGCGGACTAGATGGGCTACTAGTATTCCTAGAAAGGGCATCGTGCCGGCGCACTCTGAGAGGGGAACACGCTTCATGCCGAATGAGGTCAGCCACTATGTCCTAATTGATTACCTTCCAGGGATGCCAAAATACGACGGCAGTACCTAGAACAAGCCATAGGTTCCTGCTAAGATAACCCACCATGACTGAATCATCCGTATGTGCGTCTTGGGCCGATGACCCTTGTGCTCGAGTTATATAAAGAAACTAGATAAAGAGGCAATGCTCTGTGTATTAATTACCCGGTGTTAACTACCTCTCGTGTTACACAATGTTCATATCTCAGTCTACCGTCGTGGGCCTACTTGCTATGACTGCAACGATCGCTGCAAGCACATCTTGCGTGGACCATATCTCTCACGATACCATTGCATTCTTTAGTGGTGCCGCTCTGACGTTCGGCTCCAACTATACTGATGCAGCGGACTGTGGCATTAAATGCTCGTCCATTTCCGCATGCGAAGCCTGGCTATTTACCAGTGGTGGTCAGTGTGAGCTTTTTCGCCACTATCCGGTAGCCACAGCAGCAAACCCAAATTTCTCCTACGGTGTCTGCAGGCAGGGAAACAGCTCGTCCCACCATGTTTGGCCTTCACCAGTGCCCTCATCCTCCATGCATTCTCCAACGATAGCGTCAACTGCATCTTACATGGTAAGTCACCTCGTGGCAGTCGTAGCGCCGCAAGTTCTTCTACTGATGAAAGCCCTCTCACTACTATGCAATATATGATATACGTTTATTGAAGCTGACTGATCCCTTCAATCCTTTCAGAACACCAGTAGTGCCGCTATTAGGCGGCACTTAGATGCCCATAGACATGGTAGTCATCATAATCACCAGGGGAACTAGTGATGGCGGAGGGACTTGTCTTTGTTAGATTGGAGAAAGCAATGGGGGTGAACAGTGGTCGATCAGAAAGATTAGTATTCCAAAGTGCGACCATCTTCATTAGCTTACTGCTTTATCGACTATATGGTGCTATTGACTATCCAAGCTTGTTTGAGTTGAATTATTTGAATTAACTTTTCCACCGCTTTATGAAAACTAAAATTGCCAATGGCTTTTTTCATTGTTAGGTAGCTATCAACGAAAGATAACAATATTTACCCGTATTATAGCCGCACATCCAATATGTTATTGCCTGCATCAAGACTAGCGAGTTAATACCAACTTACCACTAGTCCAATTTAGCGGGTGTTCAAGATCGAGTGTTATCTGTCCGGCGCGGCTGCAACCCCGGCCGAAACAGGGCTTCCGTAAACAACCCCGAGACTCCATCGCAGCGGCGCATGCTTAAAACACCTGTTCATGCCGTCGGTCGTTTCCGAATCCAGCTAACTAACTGGAAATAAGCCTACGGAGCTGTTCCTTCCCCAACAACAATCTTTACCCATCAATGAACTTGTCTTGGGCAAACCTGGATAGCGAAATGGATTCCCCGTTGCACTTTGATAACAGTGGATCAGGCCCACTTCGAGTTCCGGGCTTCGACGGGATTCCCCTGGAGTATGAGTTCGAGATCGGCCAGCGCTTTACTCACGGGGCATGGGAGGATAGCGAAAGGCAACCTTTTAGACTGACCGCACCTGAGGTTCATATGTTGCGTCTCATGGAGCGCATTACCGATATTGAAAATTGGGACCAAGGAGTTTTCGATAAACATACGCTCGCTAAATGGCGTGCACAGGGAGCCTTTTGCGCAGACCATAGCTCCGATATGGATCAGGATGTTGACATGGGCCTGATTACTACGAGAACATGGCTCTGGTGCGTTGCGGAGCTACAGGATAAGGCCAGAGCACTTCGTGATACCGGTCATGTTGTTGTTCTCAATTCCGACTCTGGAGTATGTAAAGTCGATCGGGCCGTGACAGGGTCCCTTGTGCGTCAACTTCTGGACGCATTTAGTCAACTGCCCAACTGTAGCACTCATGACTTGGTAGACCCGTCACTTCATATGCTCATCTATGGTCGGACAACAGTTCTCAGTCATGGTGGTCAGGTTACTCTTGAAGGGACTTCTAATCTGTATCCTCCCTCCGACCGGGGACAGACGGCACCAGTGCCAGATCATCCTCTGACTAAACTTGGACCTTTTCCCCAAGTTTTCCATCACTCCAGCGATGAAGAAAAGTGCCGACAATTCTCCTCTTGCTATCAATGGCTACCTTGCGACGTTGAATTCGCCGAGTCTTCGGGAACGGCGGTACGGATAACATCGTACATCAATAACCTCCACCCAAATAACACGAGGGCATACGCTTCCATTGAAAAGCTTATCTCCCTAGCTATAGCTCCCTGGAATGACGTTCTGGTAAAAGGGTTTCAAGGTCGCAGGCCACGGCGGATCTATACATATGGTGTCTCCAATAGTGAAGTACCCCCATGGGCAGAATACCCGCCGGAGGACCTACTGCCAGTTGTGCCGTATCAAAAGATAACTCGATTCGACTGGGCGTCAGAAGACTGGGAATGCCATTGTGACAAGGTCGAAGACTATCTTCGGCTACCAGATGTGGATCCGAAATATCGCGTTTTCCCACCAAAGCCCGACGATCCACCAGAGACCCAAGACCTTCTGGGTTACATG